ATAGGGCACAGAAATTCACCAAGTTCTCAGATTTGATCTCTGCTTTACTTTTCACTGAAAAGCAGAACCAGCTTTTGATGAAGAATCATCAAGCTCGACCCACTGGCTTGAACGCCGCACCTGAAGCGCATACGACCTATTATAGCAGCCATAAACGACGAAAAAATCTTCGTGGCCGTGGCAATAGGCAGCAAGCCCAACCACGGGCCCAAGGTCAACAGAGTGCCGCACTTAAAGGAAGAAATGTGACCCAGTAGAGTCCACCACTCGCCTCTAAGGCCCTAAACTTCAAGAATAAGGGCAAAGTTCCTGTTTAGCTTGCTTCTACTAAACTGGACATGTTCTATCGTTATGGATCAAATGATCATTAGTCACGCATACGCAGAGCTTCCCCTGAGGCTATTGACAAGTATCATTCCCATCATGAGTCTAACTTTGCATACGTGGATCGTCCGGAAGATGCAACTACATCAATGGAGATATCAAATTTTCAGGAGGCGTCAGCACCTATAGATGAATAAATTAGACATGTTTTTAGGGTGTATACCCCTAGTAGTCCACGTTCCGGAAGAACATTGCTGAGTTTTAAAGATATTCGAGATAATCAATATCATCTTGAAACCACTGAAGATCATGGTTCTGAATTTCTTTGTATCACTTCGTATGAATATGGCCAGAAGCATATTCACGAGAAGTTGGAACACTTGCTGAGTGGGTTGTACATCACAACCATTAGCGGCATAGAAGCCCACAGTGTGGCCAGCCCTATGTCTGAGTTCCAGGACACGTTGTTGCTTTGGCATGACCGTTTAGGACATCCTGGACGTGACATGATGTACTGTATCCTCAAATTTTCACACAGGCATAAGTTACATCCCTATGTTGGAGTTCCACCATGCAAAGCATATTCTTTAGGGAGGTTGAATACTCAACCCTCATATACAAAGATTATTCACGACCTCCCTAAATTTCTTCAAAGGATTCAAGGGGACATTTATGGACTTATCTAACCAACATGCGGACCGTTTAGATATCTTATGGTGATGGTTAATGCATCGACATGATAGTCACATGTTTGCTTGTTGTCCACACGCAACGCCACGTTTGCTAAACTCCTAGCTCAAATTATTAAGCTAAGGGCTCACTACCCTGATTATTCGATCAAGTCAATTCGACTGGATAATGCTAGAGTGTTTACGTCACAGACTTTTGATGATTATTGCATGTCAGTAGGGATTGATGTGGAACATCCTATGCCCCATGTTCACACCTAAAACGGCCTGGCAGAAGCTTTCATAAAGTGCCTTCAATTGATATCTTGGACTTTGGTTATGAGAACCAAACTACCGGTATCTGCCTAAGGCTATGCAATATTGCACGCAGCTATGTTGGTCCGCATGAGGCCCACCGCTACCCAACCACATTCATCGTTACAGTTGGTCACTGGATACGAGCTTGACGTCTCCAATTTACGGGTGTTTAGGTGCGCCATTTATATGCCAATAGTGCCGCCACTGCATACCAAAATGGGTCTTCAGAGAAAAATGGGAATCTATGTCGGTTATGATTCGCCATCAATTGTTCGATACTTAGAACCCTTGACAGGAGATCTCTTTACCTCACGTTTTACGAATTGTCACTTTGATGAGACAGTCTTCTCGTCGTTAAGGGGAGATAAGCATGTTAACGTTCCAGTAGAACGCCGCGAATTGTCGTGGTATTGTCCCACTATGTCTCATTTAGATCCCCGCACTGCCCAATCTGAAACTGAGGTGCGGCGAATTATAGATCTTCAGAGCATTGCTTAAAGCATGCCGGATACTTTTAATGATCTAACAAAGTTGACAAGATCACATATACCCGCTGTAAACACATCTGCAAGGATAGATGTACCCCGTGTACATCAACAACCCGCCTGGGAAGGTTGAACTATCCCCGAAGGTGGGGAGGCCGCACCCTCCAAGTGGCAAGGTACATTGGCGGCTAGCCAATCACCTACTCCGACCCTGGAGCGTGGTAGACCCCTTGGTTCAAAGGATTTACAACCCCGAAAGAGGAAAATGGCATCAACTAGTGACCTTAGTTTGAATCCGACCATCGCTCACTTATCCGTTCCAACGTATAAGGTTATTCTAGATTACGGTGATGCTTCAGACGAAACATGCTGGCCTCCCAAGAATCGTGAGATTTCGGTCCATTACATAGTATTGGATGAGGTTTGGAATAAGAATGAGATGATCGTCGATGATGCATTCTCATACTCAGTAGCTACTGACATCATGCTTAACAATGACATTTGTTTGTACCATACTTAAGGCCTCCGTATTTAGACCTCGTATAAATACTCGAGGGACTCAAATGTAATTATGTAATAAATGGAGGGGCAAATATGTAATAAGTAAGGAGCCCTTATTCTATAAAAGGGCCTCCTCACCCTCACAAACCTCAAGCTTCACATTCCCAAAGAGAAACTCTCATCCTCACAGACAGAGAGCTCTCTCAAACTCTTTATTTCTCTAGGGGACTCTCTCTCACCCTTGTAATCCATACATACAGTTAGAGAGAAACAATATCAACATCACCATGGATGTAGCCCAAACATTGGGGTGAACCACGATACATTTTGTGTTCTTTACTTTCTTGCAGATTCACGGTCGGATTTATGTTGTTCCAAGACCCTTTTGGTTTTGTGCATCAACAACATTAAACAACGTTCTGTTGATGAATGCTGACGTAGAATCGGTTGGTCAAACTGGAAACAAGCAATCCAGGTCGAACTAGATTCGCTCGCGAAAGGTAAGGTATTTGGACCTATCGTTCCTACACCACCATGCGTGAAGCCTGTTGGTTACAAGCGGGTTTTCGTGAGGAAACGTAATGAGAAGAATGAAATAGTGCGATATAAAGCACGCTTTGTAGCGCAAGGCTTCTCTTAGCGCCCTGGGATTATTACGAGGAGACGTATTCCTCCGTAATGGACGTTATAACATTTCGCTACTTAATCAGTTTGGTAGTTTTCGAAAAACTGAATATGCAACTTATGGACGTGGTAACCGCGTATCTCTATGGGGATCTAGATACGGAAATATACATGAAGTTCCAGAAGGACTTCCATTGATTGGTACAAATAGTTCTAGACCACGGAACACTCTCTCAATTAGGTTGAGGAGGTCAATCTATGGATTGAAACAATCTGGGTGGATGTGGTATAACCGTTTGAGTGAATATTTGACAAGTCAAGGTTATGTGAACAACGAACTATGCCCATGCATGTTCATAAAGAAGTCACATTCCAGATTTGCAATCGTTGCAGTTATGTCGATGACATGAATCTCATTAGGACTCCTGTAGAGTTTGAGAAAATTGCTGCACACTTGAAATTGAAATTTGAGATGAAGGATCTTGGGAAAACTCAATATTGCCTCAGCTTGGAGATCAAGCATTGTTCAGATGAAATCCTAGTACAACAATCGAACTACACCCAAAAGGTGTTGCATCATTTTAATGAGGATAAAGTAAAGCATTCGAGTACACTCATGGTCGTTCAAACTCTAGATGCTAAATGAAATCCCTTCCATCCAAAGGAGGATGAGAAAGAGATTTTGAAACCTGAAGTTTCTTACCTAAGTGCAGTTAAGCCTTTATTGTACTTGGCTCAGTGCACTAGACCTGACATCTCATTCGCTGTGAATCTATTGGCTAGATACAACAATGCGCCACACGCAAGCACTGGAATGGTGTTAAAGACATTTTCCCCTACCTTAAGGGTACTACGGATTTGAGCTTGTTCTATACTCGCTGGTAGTTCTCTTATTTAGAAGATATGTATAACTCAGGGGGAGTATCTAGAAGCATACTCACATGATCTTAAATCACTATTTTTCCTACGATTAGGAGCATTTTTTCCATTGAGTTTTTGCTACCTAACGAGGTTTTAATAAGGCACCCATCCTGGGATGATCATATTCCGAGGAGTTCACTACCTTCGTCTAGTTTGACATTCGTTTTAGACATTATGCATACTTTTCATTTTTCTCCTTAGTCTATGGGTTTTCCCATGCCTTGGGTTTTACCATAGCGATGTTTTGTGAGTTTTACTACAAATGTATACTTCACTTAAATTTGAGACTCGTGATCACCCGTTGTGCCAATGACTGCATTAACTATTCTACTTTATCTATTGAAGATCTGATGCGATGGTTTGTTTAGCATTTATACACTCAAGGGGGAGTGTTGTAATCATATTTAGAATATGAATGTGATTGTGTAAATCCTAGGAGATATGGAAAAGTATCTTATATTCCTATTAGAAGTAAATTACCTATTAAATGTTGTAATTGTAAAGGGAACAGTTTTTACCTATCCTACTACTATAAATAAAGGTACAATGGGATGAATCAAACACACCTCACAATTAAATCAATCTCTTTTCTCTCTAATAATGGCCGGTCCCCTCTCTCTAAACCCTAGATTGTTCAATCAAATAAGCCTACAACACTTCAAAGATTTTTTTTTTTTTTGAAACACTTGTATTTTTAGTAATCTCAACGTCTTTCAAATAAAACCGACTTTTTTTTTTTGCCAAAATAGATGTATAGGAGGCTATATTCCCCCAAAAGCCATATGTTTTTTCAAACAACACCGCTAATGCGAACTTCAATCTTGATTTTCTTTTGTGTCGGAACTTCAATCTTGATTTGGATTTTAAGATTAGACCCAACTTGAAAACACTATTCCACTCATGCAAGTCTCGTGCTTTATTAATAGAACAATGGATGCAAAACTATTTGGACCCAAAATGACATTTTGGGCCGAGTTCATAGTTGTTCTCAACCTAATAAAAAGTGTTAGGATTATTCTCACCATAGGCCTCGCCCAATACAATCTACTACGGATATTGTGCCCAGTAATAATCTGAACGTGATAAAAAATCTCAACTTCTACCACGAAATATGCTTGTTGTCAAATGTAATATAACCACAGAGTATGCCCATGGTAGATTCAGATCTAACACCAAATGCGCATAGCCATTGTGAATTACAAATTGATCACAACCAATGCCCGTTATAAAAAAAAATTTCAAAAATAATAAAATATTGTGTGTGTGTCTATATATATAATACTTAAAAACAAAATTACATATTTGCTACAATATAATAATTACATAAAGAATTACATATTCAAATATTACAACGGTATACTAAGGCTAACAACAACACCGATGACATAGACCTCAAATAACAAGAACATTGTCACTTAAAGATTTCACATTTCTTTGAACACCTCCAAACAAAGGACTTCGAGAGTGAACTATTACCCACAATGCTTTGAGAATGAAGTATTGCACCTAATAATGCTTATCTGCATAGACATTAGCACATAGATCAAAAGAAAATATATTGGAATACTATAGGTGGAAGTACACATTTAATATCAAGAAAGAAAAGTGATTACCGAACGAAAAAAATTCATTGTGATAGACTCATACATTCATCAAATTACTCAAAATTCCACAAGCCTTCACAATTTTATTGTTTCCTACAACCTGCATAGAGTTCATATACTTGCATATATATAATTCTGACTCTTTCAGGTTCCCATCTTATCAAATTTACAATATTACAACACCCTCTTCAACATCTCTAGATTAGACAAGCAAGTAAAATCCATCATGAAACAACAATTATTTACAAACAGATACAAAATTGAAGCATCCACTGATCGGAAAAATAGACAATGAAATGTTCTCACACAACACCCCCTAAATCAAATAAATATCACCCAGTAACCCATTTGAAACCACAAATACATTTATCGAATTTTTAACAAACGAATTCCATTTTTTTTTTTTTTTGACCAACCGAATTCTTTACCCATAAAATTAAGAAGAAAAGCTGAAAACAAAAAAAAATTGAAAAATTGAAGGAATATACCATTTGTATGATCGAGGGCAATGGCCATGCTCTTTGGCGTGCTTGATGTGACAGCGCTCCTCGGGCAGAGCGACGAGGTAGGAGAAGATCGTGCCGCCGAACCAGACATGGAGGAGGGGATCGACGGAGCTGGTCTGGATGTACTTGGCTTGGTAGTTGTCCAAGCCTTTTTGCAGATTCTTCTTGGCGAAGTCGACGAACAGCATCGGCTTATTGTGGTTGGGCAAATCCTTCAGCTTCAATCCCTTGATCTCGTTGTAGAATCTCCTCATCGTCATGTGTGGTGATGCATTCGACAGAGAGAGAATAGGAAAACCCTAACCCTAGAAATCAGGAAGACTCGAGAGAAGAAATGAGGGGATTTGAGGAAGAGAGGGAGAGTGGTAGCCATAGATGTTTGAAATTTTGCTAAATTTTGGAAAGGAGGAGTTTTGCAGTAGTTGATGGGACATATTACAATTTGGATTTTCCTTCTTTATATTTTGATAAGTGTGCGGGAGTTGTGAAAATTTCAAATTTCAAAGATGTTGAGATTTTGTAAAATTTTGGTGTCCCGCCTCTTTAAGTTTGAAAAAATAAAAACATGTACAATTCTATCACATATTATGACGGTAGTAGATAACAAAAAGGTAATGTGGATATTAACAATATTGACCACTAGCAATGCCCGTGGTGACTTATTATATTTACAACGTGAAATTCTGTGTGTGGTCATTAATTGCTATTAATGTCTAAAATATCGATAATATCGACGAAATATCTTCGATATTATCGTTTTTGTGAGAGTCTGATATTTCTACACCTATCCACTTGATTATTGTCAATATATCGAGATAATATCGATAATATCGATATTATCGATATTATCAATATTATCGCGTCCTTCTTGAAGGCGACGCCGATGGAGTAGACGGCGATGGGCATGAGGGCCTTAAGCATCTGGATGAAAGAGATGGAGAGGAAGATGTAGGCAGAATTGGAGAACCAGAAGGAAAGGGCGTAGAAGGCGTCAATGGGTATGACCGACTTGAGGTAGAGGTCACGGGAGATGGAGACGGCGTCGACGAGGCGGAAGATGCGGACGAGGAGGAAGGCGAGGGAGGAGCAGAGGGAAAGGGCGTAGAGGGTGCCAATGGGGATGACCGACTTGAGGTAGAGGTCATAGGAGATGGAGACGGCGTCAACGATGCGGAAAATGCGGATGAGGAGGAAGGCGAGGGAGAAGCAGAAGGCCTATGGGAGAAGGATCGAGAGACTGAGGTCTCTGTGCGTGTGTGTGGAAGAAGGGAGAAAAGAGAAGGATCGAGAGATCTATGTGTGTGTGTGTGGGAAAAGGGAGAAGGGAAAAGAGAGAAGGATCGAGAGATTGAGGTCTCTATGTGCGTGTGTGGGCTCTCGATCTTTGTGTGCGTGTGTGGTGGCGTGTGAGAGTCTCTGACTCTGTGTGTGTGTGTGTGTGTGGTGGCATGTGAGAAAAAAAAAAGCATCCAAATAATTCAAAACCGTGTCTCTGACTTTTTGTCTCTGACTCTTGACAACTTTTACAACTTTTGACAAGACACAAAATAATGGTGGTTTCATCAAGATTCAAAACCGTGTGCCACGCGTGATATTCTTTCACATTCTCAAAGGTGGAGTATCAGATCATCACACATTTTTTTACCCTTCGAAAATTGAAAAACCTCTATTACACCTTTTCATTTCTTCATCTTCCCTTAGCCCTTTCAGAGCCATTTTAGAGCTTCAAACTGAATAAATGGATCTGCAGCTCACGCCACTCCAAATTAAATGTTAAATACCTTCTTTCTCTCTCATTTATTCACAGACGGCAAGCTGCAGAGGATCGTTAAGGTTTTGCTGCTACGTATGACATCGAAAGTTCCATATTTGTTACATTTGTGTAATTATTATTTTATTTTTGCTCCACGCAGATTCTATTTGACCTTTACACAAAGGGGTCCATATTTAAGGTAAGTTTACAAACTTATATTTATATTATTGTAATTTAAACAATAACAAAAAAATTTGTGGACTCGTGCATGTGATCTAAGAACCAAATAATACTTGCATGTTAATTTTTTGAAGTAATTAAGTAATGTTGTATAATTATTCCCTAGAATAATTTTAATATGTTTAATGTTATTTATTATTTTATTATCAAATTGGATTATTATTCATTAATATTAGGTTTTATTATTCCATATTATTTTTATAATTACTTAAATTCTTACAATCATTTTCTTTACTTCCTATTTAATACTTCCTATTTAATTCTTTTGTAGAATAACTTTACTTCCTATTTTCTTTACTTCCTATTTAAGATGTCCAATGGAGTTACTAAGCGTGATACAGCTTGGGAACATGGAGACCCAATAAACGGAAACAAAAATGGCACAATTTACAAATATTGTGGTCGGGTAATGATGAGTGGCGGAGTGACACGACTTAAGTACCATCTTAATGGATTAGATCCAGGAAATAATGTCCAATAATGTGATAATGTCCCCCCAGATGTGAAGGCATTCATCACCACATTATTAAAAAATAAAAAACACTAGAAGGAAAAGAAAACACATGGAATGGAAAATATTCGAGCTAGGCTACGAGGAGAAGTCATTGACCAAGCGGTTGACAGTGATGATGATGACGATGAGGACGAATGTGATGATGACATGGGACCTGAAGAACGACGCAGTTTCAAACAAGCATTACGTGCCTCCAAACAGTCAGCATGGGAAAAAGAACACCTTCATAAAATTCCTAATAGAGCACAAGGTTCCGGGACAAGTGGTGGTGCACAAATGAGATGGGGAGCAAGTGTTAGAGAATCACAACCAACACCACCAATAGCCCCAAGTTTATATAAGTCATCCAAAGCACGTCAAAAAGTGTTTGGAGTTATTTCACTGGAGGTAATGTGAAGGAGGGAATGGGGCGACTAATTAGCAAGTTCTTTATATATGAAAATGTCCTTGCTGAGAAGACATCATCACATCATTTAAAAAATATGGTATTAGGATGTCAACAGGCCGGTGTTGGAGTACAACCTCCCACTCCCTATAAGGTAAGAAACAAATATTTGGAAATGGAGTATAAAGACATTGGCGAGTATGTTAACAAGTTGAGGTCAAAGTGGGAAACTAATGGTTGCACAATCATGTGTGATGGATGGACTGGCCCGACTAGATTGTCTATCATAAACTTCATGGTATACTCCAAGGGACAGACAATTTTTTTAAAGTCTGTTGATGCTTCAGACCATATAAAGAACTACAAGTATATTTACAAATTATTGAGGGATGTAATCATGGAGGTGGGAGAGCATAATGTTGTCCAAGTCGTGACCGACAATGGTTCTGCATTTGTCAAAGCTGGAAAAAAGTTAATGAAGCATCATAATGTGTTTTGGACATCATTTGCAGCACATTGTATTGATCTCATGTTTGAGGCAATGAGGAAGAGAGAGAATATTGCTACTGTCTTAAAAAGAGCTACAACGATCACAAATTATATTTACAATCACGGTTGGTTGTTGGCAAAGAGCGTGAATTTTGCAAAGGAGAAATTATTCGTCCAGCTACCACTCGATTCGCCACCAACTATATTGCATTAGACAGCCTACTTAAGAAGAAAGCAGGGTTGAAGCAACTATTCACTAGTGAAGATTGAACCAACCACAATTTCAGCTACATAAATGCAGGTCGTATGGTGGAAAGTATGGTGCTTGATCATGCTTTTTGGACTTAATCAGAACATGTGTGCCAAGTGTTTGAACCTCTTTACAAAGTTACAGATCGTTGACACAGAAGTGTATCCTACTATGGGGGTAATATATGAGTTAATGCATGTAGTGAAGGATGACTTGAAAAGAAAACATGGTGCAAGGTGGGTCATAAAGATAATTGATGACCGATGGTATAAAACATTATACCACGATTTGCATGCAGCAGGTATAAATTATGTCATAATTTGCAATTCATTTCTTTAGTTGCATAAGTATTATTTCTCTTATTAGAGTATGTGTTTCTTTGAACAACATATTATTTGAATCCTCGATACCAATACAGACCCGGTGTTGGAGATGATGGTACCCTTATATGTGTTGTACATAATGTATACTCTAAATTAGACCCTGCATCACCAGCAGTTGGCTAATTTGGAAATGAGGTATACAATTACTTAAATTATAATAATTATATTGTTGGATTAAACTAACACGATTTATTGAATTCAGCTAACATGGTATAAAGATGCAAGAAGAACTTTTGGAGAACCAACATCAGTTGCTGCTCAAACAAAAATGTCTCCTAGTCAGTGTAAACATATTTCACTATCAGTTTGTAATAGAATTTGTTGGAGTTATTAGGCATATCAACATTGTTTTTCATTATAGCTGAATGGTGGATCATGTATGGGACTGATGCACCAACTGTAAGAAAGTTAGCAATCAAAGTATTATCACAAATAGCTTCCTCATTTGCTTATGAAAGAAATTGGAGTACATTTGCACTCATACACACAAAGCAAAGAAATAGGTTGGCTCATAGTAGGTTGGAAAAATTAGTTTATTGCTACTACAACATGAAGCTTCAAATTCGAGATAAGGAAGCAGAAATAGATCATGTCGACCGTGGTGACCATTAGATGTGTTTGATATTGTTGCTGAAGATGATGATACAGAGGGTAACCAACTTTATCAATGGATTAGACCTCTTCATTTAGATGATGATGAAGGCAACCCAGCTCTAAAAGTTGCTGAAGAAGCACGTAATGAAGGGATAAATGTAGAAAGAGTATTAGATGAGGAGGTGGGATCTAGTAGCCTTGACTCTTTGGAAGAACTTTTGCGCCCAATACCAAGAAACATTGGAATTCCACCTTTTTCCAATCTTACACAACCACAAGATCCTGCTAATACTAATGATAGCTTTACTACAAGATCAAGAGACTCATCTACCACCAGAGGTGGGAATGAGGATATAGTGGAGCTGGAGGTAGTGGTGGATATGGAAACCATGTTGGACCATTTCCCGGATTTATGAGCCCCTTCATTGGTGAGGCAAACTTCACGCATGCAACACAGGATGAGGACCATGGCAGTAGGCGGGCAGGACCAGGAATTGGTGCCATAGGGAAGGACTATACTCGTAGAGAAAGAGGCAAGGGAACTTTGTCAAGTCAAGAAGATGACTCGTTATTTATAACTTCGGACTCTGTTGAAGTGGGAAGTAGTAACTATGGTTATACTCATAACCAACCATTTCCCTACCCTTCATATCCCATTCCTGTTGGGATGGAATCGAGCGACTCATGGAAAGAATCCGAGACTTAATCTTCAAATGATTTTGCTTATGGACAACGTCAACCAATTTTGAATCCATATGGGTGGCATGTTAACAATTACATGCAAAACTATTTTGGGGATTTATCATTTGATGACTACTCTTTACAATACACTTACTCTACACATAGAGATGATGAAGATAGTGAAAATTTTGAACCTCATAGAAACTCTATGTGGTACTAAGTAACTTATGTATCTTACCATGCAATGTATAAAGTGTAAAATATTGTACGAATTCATTATATATAAATGATTATGGTGTGTATAAACTTCTTTAATTAATTACTACATATTTTCTACACTCACAATGTTTGTCAGCTCGCTATATAATCAACTTAAATCAGTTAAATCCATCATGCAATGCATTTCCTTCCAATTTTTTGTGATAACTAATAGATAATTAACTAAATAAACATCCTGCAAAGTTTCAATAAAAATTTCCAAGTTTTGCTTACAATTTTCGTGGTTTTTATTAAATTTTTATCGATATCGATAATATCCCGATATTTCCATCGAAATTTCCGTATTTTTGGACTACCGATATTTCCGATATCATCGATATTTTAGACCTTGATTGCTATTTTACAACGGGTTAAGATTTGCTCGTGATAAAAAATTGTTATTCACCACGTGCTTATTATGCCCTTGGTAAATTTGTACTTTTTATAACAAGCTCATAAAGCCTGTTATAGATGAACTGTCGTCTTGTAGTGGAGTCCTAGTACAACAAGGAATCCTCAGAAGCTAGGTATACTTCGAATCAGAAAAGATGCCAAGAATCAAGCGATGAATTTGGGTAAGAGTGATGTTATTCCCATCCCAATGTCTTATTTTCCCATCCATCTTTTAATGAAATTTTTAATTACAAATTTTTCCATTTGCAAAAAGACTGATAAGGACATTAATTATCTTGTTTTGCTTAATTTTTTTTTAAAAAAGTTGGGCGTGGGAGACGATTTGTTTGCCTTAAACCCTACCTCATATTTTCATCTCCCTTCATTTAGAGAAAGTAAAAAAAATATCAACGGACTTAGAAGATGACTTTTTCATTGAACAGGTGAAAGTGACGCTTCTACGTAAGAGGTAGAAGATTATGTTTCCATTGAAAATGTAGAAGAATAATTTGTGTGTAGGTCATTTGAATTTGTCAATCATATGTTGAATTTGTCGTTGTCGAATTCTTTTGAATTTGGATACCTCTGTCATTCCATTTGAATTTGCAGACCTTAATTAGTGGTTTTCTTTTACATATTATTTGTTATATTTTTTAAGAGAGAATTTTAGAATTTCATATGTATGTATATATTAAAGGTTATTTTGGGAATAATAGTGGGTGGGGAAATAGTATTTTAATTTTTTAACTTTTTAAGGTGGGTGGGATTATAATGTGAGTGGAAAATAAGACAATGAGGTGGGTCTGGCAGCTCTCTTTGGATAATTAAAGAGCTTGGTGCAGAATCCTACAAGTATTAGGATTGGCCGAGACCTATCTGGATTGGGTTAGGGAATTCTAGTGCGAGTGGGACTCTACCTCGGCGATGAGGAAATTGCTACTATAAATAGAGAGGGGTGGGCATCATTCAAAACCTTTCAAATCAACACACAAATCTGCCATGCGCAAACTCTCGCTCTATGTGAAACCTCTTAAAGACCTTGAGATTTGTATTTTCCTTTTTCCCACCAGCACATCTTCAGTTTGGATAAACAACACTGTGTTGGCAACTGGCAACATCTTCAGTTTAGATAAACAACATAGGAGCCGTAGAATCAGCCGACCGAGGAGCACCTTCAAATTGGATAAACATCATTGCTTCGAGATCGATTGGTTATCTATCCAAGTCTCAGTCAACAAGGATTTCCGAGTCCTTATTGGAAGAGGTCATCTCATCAGCTTTCTTGATGAAGTGAGGTGTTATCAGGTTATGACATTCAGCACATTGAACGCTAAATATTTATTGAACTTTGCAGAACTAGCAGCCTTGCCTTCAAGCTCTAGAACTTGAAGGCCAAGATGTGTTCCTTCCTCGACTGCAGTCGCAAGATTCAAAAGTCATCAGCGCGCCCAACGCCACATCAACATTCATTCATTCTCCGGCCAAGCTCTGCTGACGAGTTGGCACTCCCCACATTCAACCGAATGATATAGTTAGCTTATTAGTTATTCGGCATGTGCACCACGTAGGCTAAGTAGTTTTTAGAGTCAACAAGAATTCACAAGGAAAAGACAATTTAAGTTTGGATGGCTAATGTGCTTGAAAAGTTTAGCAATTTGGTTTATTTTTATGTTGAGGTATTTTTTGTAATTTAGGTAATAGGTTACCTAGTAGAATGAGAATTATGATTGCTTTCATATTTGTGACTAGGGTTTCAAGATTGCTTTCTTGTTTGTTTCAAGATTAGGTCTTTACAAATACGCCTCTTGTACTTTCGTAGGAATTAAATGGTAATAAGGTGTAGTCCTTCGTTATGTAATCGTCATGGTAACTTGTCATCTTCTCCTTTCTTGTGTATCAATAGACTCAAAATATGTTTAAAATTAGTTTATCTTCTTTTCTCATCCTTTCATTTGTTAACATATTTCATAATAGATGGTAAATGCACAAATATGTCCATCTGGTAATTGCAATTTTCTTTCATACCCTTTATAAGCTCAATTCTTATTTTGGGTGTGGAGTAAGATTGTAAGAATCAGTGTTCTGTTTTTCTTATAATAAGCTAGGAATAAAAATTCGAATTTCAATAGTTTTCATGGTATTGGTCAAGTACCCAATAAAGTTTTCATTGGCTGTACCCCGAACATATTTGGAGTAAACCTACACATTTGTTTCTCAAACCCTATTATTGGGTTGCAATAAGAACCTTTGCTACGATATTATGATCTTTCACTTTCTACCTGAGTTGTATATATTGATCAATATCTCGAATTCTAAGAAGGTAGATCTTTGCATTGCTCCTATAGCTGCAGGTGCAGGTACCTTCACTAATTCATAATTTTTCATGCAGGACATGCAGGTCCATTGCAGAGACGATAAGAGCTGCTGAGACTTTGTCTTACGAATTGGGAACACTTGAAATTAAATGGCACTGGAGGAAGCTGGGACTCAATGTTACAACACAATAAGAAACAACATAACCCTTCCCTTCCTTCCTTTCCCCCTCTATTCTAATATGTTTGCAGGAATTGAAGGTTTTGTCTTGTAGGTGGTTGGAAGGGCAAATGATGTTTTCCCATACCTTTTGTATTCTTATCCAATTATCCGTACGTGCTTTTCTGCAACATGATGGAATGCAGTGAGGCAAAACATGACTAACCATCACTTTATATATATGATTTTAAATTGCTTGATACTCTTTTAGAATAATAATTGAAGTCAATACTCCTTAGTTACAGACGAATTGCAATTTAATAAAAGTGCATAAACTTTTCGTTTTGTTATTTTATAGTCACTCTGTAATATTAGCTTGTGATTTGCAATGAAAAAATAATAGCTTGTTACCTGTAAGTTATCAATCCGTGTCCTTTATTTTATTATATGTTTCTTTCCTTTGTTTTTGGTTTTTTGATTGACCGCATGGAAGACTCCTATTCCTGAATCCCCAAATTTAATAATCCAAAACATGTGGGAGGACTATTTTGACAACTTTGACATTGTAAATTCCCAAGTTCCATCTTATCTTTATCCTTTTTCAACCTTTTGAAAAGAAAACAAAGTTTTTATTTCAATAGGAATAGTTTTTAGGGAATAAGGAATGCCAAAGAATGACACATAATTGTGCATGAAATAAAGTCCAATGACAGCTTCACAGCAGACAAGCTTGGAGTGTGCAAAATTACAATAACAAATAGTTTTAATAAAAATAAAAAATTCGGATCCTTCCAAATGAGATACAGAAGCACAGATTAAACAAGATGGGGCATGTCCCATTGGGTCAGGGAGATTTCAGGCAGGATCTCCTGGGCTGTAGAGAAAAAGGATCATGAAAAATATGCATATCAAATATGCCAACATTTTAGTTTGGCCTTTCCCTCCCTCATTTTTCAACCCTTTTCTGTACTCTGATCAGACTGCCCATCACTCGTTATACTTTTACATCATCTTGTCTCTGGATTTTCATATGCATTTTTAAGCCCTAAATCTTTTAAGTGAGAAGAAGTATATTTATCATTCAGCATGCATGGATGGAGAATTTGTCTGGACACTAGGGACATTAAAGGGTCTTGTCCTATTATAATGTCTAAAGTTTTATTTTTTAATTTTTTTTTTCCAAAGGTTTTGGTTTTACTTCTGGATAGATTGATTGAAAGCATTATCTATACAATGCAGATTTGATGAGGGAAATCCCACCTAATCAAATGTGATGATTATTTAGCCTTTTTTATCATGTAATTTGTGAACTAGCCAAAGGAGGTAGGTGAATTCTTCATTTTTGTTCTTACTATTTGATTTAGCTGGTTTGATTAATAAAAAATTCTTAGGTGCTCCAGAGTACTCACTATTTTGGTTGTTTTAACAGTTAGATTTTAATTTTTATATTTTAACAATCAAAACATCTCAAATGCCGGGTTCTCCGAAGCACCCAAAAAAGTGCCTTAATTAATTATTGAAAAAATCTATAGTACATGAATTGTAGTCAGAAACTCCGAATCTGGAACAGAAACTCCAGATCGAATAGTAGTCAAAAGAAGACATGATACTAATTAAACCTTAATTTTTCTCACTTAATTGTTATGAAAAAACCATTTTTCGAAACTTGTTTGGAATTAGAAGCTTGGAATTGCTTAGAATTTTGGGTAGTTGTGATATGGAGACATGATTATCGCTTAAGGCCTATTTATTCATTCCTTAATTATTTACCAACTGATTTATTTTAGGAACTGCAATGGCATGGTAAAAATAGCATGATTTGGATCCATAAAAAATGGATTTCCCTTTCCCGCTCGATTTTTCTTCTCATGTACACCCCTTATTTATTTATGACAATGAAATCGAATAACGCAAATCAGCTTAAACAAACCAAAAAAAATAAAATAATTAAGTGTCTAAAAATCATTTAAAAAACTAAGTGCGGCATTGGATAATGGATGCACATAGATTGCCTAATTTAAAAGGCTTAGCCTTTTTCCAATTTGTTGAACAGAAGGTGGAGGAGTATATATAGTAAGTAAAAAATGCCAGCTCATTTGCACCACCTGCTAGTTGACGAATAAAAACAATTAAAGTTTGAAAGCATGAAGGTTTATTTCCAACTTCTCCTCTTAGGTTGTTTCCTATCGAATTGACAGGTAAAAGAAAAATATGAAAGAAAAGAAAGAAAAAAAAAGAACATGCAAGACCGCTTTTGAGATCGAAATTCCATCTACTTTTGGAGCCTCTCCTCCCACCATTCCCTACTCCTAGAGCTAGCAACTAATGCAGCAGCTGCCGTACAATCATGCAACTAGTAGAATACAAAGAGCAGAAGCTGAGTAGCTAGCTACCCTTGAAACCACCTGCATGTCAAGAATTTAAGAAACTCATTCAGTTTAAATAACACAAGGAAGTTAAAAACTGCAAAGTATTTGTAAACTAATGCATAAATTATAATAATGTTTTTCAAGAAAAAGGAAAAAGATGAGGACTCAACTGGTTATTTCCAGATGGAGTAGATTTTAAGAAACCACAGTGGTCTTGGTATGCAGATCTCCCCTGCAAGAACTTAATATTTTGATCAGTAACCATTTAAAACTATATAAAGCCAAAAACAAAATAATACAATTACTAAGCAAAAAATAAGTACCTGAAAATGTGTAGATGAGAAACCTTGTGAATAATCCAGAACACTGTCTCCAAAAGCTTGATTATTTGACACAATGAAGTTGTTCTGCAAATTAAATTCATAAAACCCATCAAATATAATCCAAACAAATAACATTAATGGATATATCAGTGCATGCTGATAAAAATTAGCCACACTAATGAAGTTGAGCTTAATTAATTAAATACTATTCACCTTGGAGTAGTTGAAGACAGGAGAGCTAGCAGTGTCATCTAATAAAGATGGTTGTTGTTGATCACCACATGAGCGCCTACCTTTTCCTTTGATATTATTTCTCTGCTGCTTTTTTCTTCCAAACTTCAAATTTCCAGCATCCTTGGATATTTGAGGAGGATAAAAACACCCATAATTATTGTTGTTGTTTTTTTCATCCAAGTAAATTTCATCTTCATTGAAATGTGGAGGCCCAGAAGATGCATCAGAAACCATTGATTGATCTTCTTCTTCATCATCCCCCTCCTCATCATGAATAACTTGTTTACCACAAAAATCAGGCTTGCTCTTGCAATTATTATCTCTACTGCGTGAAGCACTTTGATTACGAGAAAGATAATTAGAGTGCTCCAAGTATACAGTCCAACCAGACTCACAACCACTACTGCATTCTGAGGCCAACACATTCATTTTTTCTACTCTCCGTTTCACAAGCTATAATCTCAATGGTTTTTTTCCTTTTAATAACACAAAGACAGAGGGAGGGAGAGAGGTAAATATATATAGCTGAATATCAATACATCTCTCTAGTTAATTAATTAAGTAGATATTGACATATGATATATCTCAATGGAGGACTGGTGGAATGTGTCTGTCTATATTTGGACTTCGCACAACAAAAGTTAATGTAAATATATAGGAGGGTGTGGAGTGAATTTAAAAAGAAAGAAAATAGGTGAATAATTTGGACACAAATCTTAGACTTGTTTTGTCCTGACTCGGACTCGCCTATTTAATTTCCCATTCAGCTGTTTGTGAGAATGAATCAAAAATGCCAGTTGGGATGAGGATTAAATTGGTTGCATGTAAGAGAGAGAATTAAAATTAAAAGAGAAATGGCTAGAAAGAAAGAAAGAAAAATATGAAATAAGAGAGGCACAATATCCCTTCACATGCCAAGACAGCTACGCACTGTGTACCCTCTTAACAAAACTGGGTGTACACGTCCATTTCCCCTTCTCAGTATATGGACACCTATCCCTTCATATCAGTACCAGTCATTGCCTCTCTCTCGCTCGCTCTCTCTCTCTCTGTTGTTGGTGATGACGTTAGTGTTGGAAAATATTAGTATTTTGGTTTATTTGAATGTTTGGTTTTATGGACTTAACCCGTTAGAATTAGGTTTTTTTAGAGATTAGGGTTAGTTTATTATAAATAGGGTGCTTTGTTATTCATTAGAGAATAAGTGAGACACAATGTAGTCTCTTAGGGTTTTGTAGCCGTTTCGGCATTCTCAGTTTGTTTAATAATATTCTTATTATTTGTTAGTCTTGTTCGTTGCGCACTAATAACTTGGTTTCAGAGCAGGTTTGATCCTTCGGGATTTAATCTGCTTCGGGTTGGTATCTGTTTGCTTGTTTCCGTTGTCGTTTATGTTCAGATTATTAGTTGGTATTGATTGTTTGCAAGAAGAAAAAAAATTGTTCGTTCGTCTTTTGTCCCATGACTCTACTTTTGCACCTTTAAATGCCGCAGCCTGCAGGAGTATCTGCAAGTCTGTATTGCTACAAAGGAAAAAATGGGGAGTAAAAAAAAAAAAAGGAAGAAACAAGAAAATATTGGTTGCTTGTTTGAGGCCCATGCAGGCAAAGGGAAAAAAAAAATTGGTTGGATTTTTTGTTTGTTTGTTCGGAAGTTGGCATCGGCATTGGTATTGGTATCGGCATCGACATTGGTATTGGCATCGGTATTGGCATTGACATCGACATCGGCATTGGCATTGGAATTTGGAGGCTTGCATCCACATCTGCTTGTTGGCAAATTCATGTCGTGTACCGCCATGAGTTTGACGGGGGGTGTTGGAAAATATTAGTATTTTGGTTTATTTGAATGTTTGGTTTTATGGGTTTAGCCCATTAGAATTAAATTTTGTTAGAGATTAGGGTTAGTTTATTATAAATAGGGTGCTTTGTTATTCATTAGAGAATATGTTAGCCACAATGTAGTCTCTTAGGGTTTTGTAGCCGTTTCGGCATTCTTAGTTTGTTTAATAATATTCTTATTATTTGTTAGTCTTGTTCGTTGCGCATTCTAATATTCAACTATTAGCTTGATTGGATCTAGCATGGGAGTTTTTAGTACGAGATTTTTTGAGCTATCGTGTGGTCCTTGTAAATATGTTTTAGCAGATAAATAAAGCAAAGCAATTATATGTTCTGCATGTTATATTGAACTTAAAACTGCACATGCATAATCTTCAAGATACTTTCCTCCTTTCTATATTATTTGTTACCATATGTCTAGGGGTTTATTAATTTTAGTCAGAGTTAGGAGAGTGTCATGAAAAGTAATTCTACTAAGTTGATCAAAGACTTATCGGCATTAGTAATTGAATGAGTATTGCAAAGATGAATGCTAAGACTAGTTGCCTATGTGTTCATAAATAACAATCAAAATTTATGTGAATTTTACTGTGCATGCATGTGACTCATAGTTATCGATAGTCATCAAAATACACTCTCGTACATATGTTATTACTTCGATTTGTAGGTTGAGACTAGATCTAGACATAACCAAATATACTCTCGCTGAAGTGGGTAATGCAGAACAAAAAATAGGTGCATTCGTAAGTTGTTGTCTACTCTCAAGAATCAAGCCACAATAATTAAAAGGGTTAAACACAGATTAAAAGTTTTATTAGGGCATGGCTGCATGAGTGGAGACTGTAGAAATTTCTTGGGGCAAAGCGCAGTTGACTGTGTGTTTATGAATCCACATGCAATTACATTCACACCTCTCTCTCCCTCTCTTCCTCTCACACTGAAATTCTGCAGAGGGATTTACTCTTTACCTCTAAGGACTCACACACGCATGTGGGCACGTGTGCATATGCATATGCAGAATTCCCCACATATTTACACACATGTCTGCACGTGCACACGCACTTCAACCTAAACTGCTCTTTCAAAGCTGCATTTTAAAATTGGTCACTTGTGAGATTATATTTATCTTTGGTACTACTTCCAAAGTTCCAATGTAAACTTCCTTCACATCTTCCCTTTCAAAAATTCTCTTTCCTCCCATTTTTACGATGTGCCCTAATTGGTATACTTTTTTATTTATATGTATTGAATATTTTCAAAAAAATCAAGACAAAGCAAAGTATATTACGCATGTGATGGTCAAATAAAGAGGCACAAGAATATGTGCTAACTTATCCGTAGTTACATAAACTATCATCAACACGTATAGTGATAATAATTGAAGCATATATGGTTGTATATTATATAAACAAGCCAAATGTACGAGAAGGGGGATGCAATATTCGACCACTCTCTTGCGTGTTTAATGTGATCTAGAGTATTAATGCATCCTAATCTACACATGTATCAATTAATGATTAAAATCAGCTCACGCGCGTGTTCATGCATAACCTATTGTGATGGATGAAACACCTAGTGGTTTACTATAGTACATAAACCAATAGGGCAACCACACATATACCATATATGGTAGCAAAGAAAACGAAGGTTAAAACTTTAATAAAGCCCATCAAATGATTCATTAGGACCTCCAAATGTAACTATCAAACCCATCCAATTTGTGATGCAGGTGCTGTGTCTAGTACTGTGTACCTCCAAAGATTAAATTTGATCTCCTTCATTAGGACCTCCAAATGTAACTATCAAACCCATCCAATTTGTGATGCAGGTGCTGTGTCTAGTACTGTGTACCTCCAAAGATTAAATTTGATCTCCTCTCTCTCTCTCTCTCTCTCTCTCTCTCTCTCTCTCTCTCTCTCTCTCTCTCTCTCTCTCTCTCTCCCTCCTCTCTCGATTTGATTGAAGCAAAAATAGGTACCCATGTCCCATCCAGCTCATATGGACCATGCTTCGACAAATGCTGATTGGGGGGCATAACAAACATTGGGTCATAGACATGATCTATTTTAACCTCATCTTCCCTCAATGAACTGGTCAACTTAATTAGTTGTGTGTTTATTTTTTTTGGTCAGATAATTAGATGAGCAGTTAACCTACTTAATTAGCACATTAACACGCTTAATTAGATGAGCAGTTAACCTACTTAATTAGCACATAAAGACGCTTAATTAGATGAGCAGTTAACCTAAGGAGATGAGCAGTTAATCTAATTAGATTTAAAGATGACTTGTATGAAGTTAAAAGCAAATGAAGCATAAAAAAAAAATTAAATTTGGTTTTTGTAGTATTATTGATTTAACAATGTTGATTTGAACGAAAAAATGGTGATTCAATTGGTTAAATTCAATCACCCTTAAATATAAAGTTTCGAGTTCAATTCTTCATTTTTATCAATTCCTCTTTAATATCTCGTTTGTATTAAAGAGTTATGTTACAAGTATGAATCACAAATTTAACATTACAATATATGACATGTTCCATGAGTTGATTGAACTTTTACATATATGACATACTGTAGATGTAGTTGTATGTGCATTACGTACGTATATATATGTGGCAAAACAAAAGAACTTAAGATACTTTTACTGTATAACTAGATGATTAATCAGGTTAAATCTGATAAGAACGTACGCAGGGTTTATATTTACAACATGAAGCTCTAAAGCATTCTACGTACAGTTAGAAATACGTAGTAACAACGATGGCGTATCCATTAATACATTCCAGCTGGTAAAGTGAGGTAGTTCCAATGAACACAGTGGGATCCACACAAGATACAAGAACGACAATAGTGATTTGTCGCATAGCAAGTGTACATCGTATGGACGGGCGTACGAGGGCGCACTGTACCGACCACTCGCCATGTCGAGTATCTACGACGAAAATGTCGACAGGGGGAGGGAGCTGTTCATCGTGCCTCCACGTGGATCGTTGCCAATCATTTTGCGGCAACTATGCACCTCCCGGACAAAGATTGAGATAAGGTCCTCGCCACGTCACTGTTTATAATACACGCGCTTGTAGGGCAACTGTGAGAGTGTATGTGTGTGTCTAATTCACCCCATATTGTTGGGGCTAAAGCATTATTAGGATTTGATGAATTGAGATCACAGGATCCTGTATTGTTCTCATCTCATAAGAAGAGTTTAGTAAGTTGAGCTGTCAGCTCCAGGTGGCTAGCACTAGCATGGGTCTAAAATGAAAACTCCAAAATTTCAATCGATATTTACATTCTTGAGCATTCTCAGATAATAATGTCTGCTTGCTCAATTGTGTTATTGACAAGTTTACTTCTATGTTTCATAGACTTACTCTTATATTTTTAGATTTAAAGACAACATTTTAGGTTAATTATTCTTTCGATTCACAAAAAATAGCATAGTCATGTATATATAGAAATTATTAATATGTATAGAGTTAAACATCCGTGTATTATGACACTCATAATGTAATATATAAGTCTCATCACTCTGGAATATGTAATTATGTGAATGAGAGATACAAATGGAAGAGGGGAAGTAATTTTTGTGAGTTTATAGTCACAAATAAGCCTAACGTCCTTCAATAAGAATTTTTTGTGTACAGTTATCGTAACTCACTCGAATGTGTCATATAGAATATTATCTCCCCTCCCTATTCCTCCCAACAACTTTCTTGAATTCCATATACACTTATAACTAGTAGTACAAATGTATTAAAAGGGATGATGGTGATGATTACAATATTTCATGAGAAGATGAGGATTATAATCATTTATTCTTATCATTCAAAATGAAATCATTAGATGTTGAGAAAGCCTTATTTTTCTCTTGTATCATGCACGTCTTTGTCTTTATGATCATCTTCTTAGATACTTTGTGTTTGGGTTAATATTTAACTTTGGGCTTAGAGGAGAGAAAACTCAAAAGAGTTCAAT